CTATCTTTAAATGAACTTAGTTTCTTTTTTTTTTTGTGACTGGTACGGATTTCTGACCCCTGAGTTATAAGGGGTGACCTCAATCTGGGAAATACGGTCTTAATAGTTTGGTCAGGAGATCAGTCTAAAGTTTAGACCCCTTAATGTTAATTTTACTTTTTGAAGCCATCACTAAAGAACTTTTTAATCGTATTTTTGTTCTTAGTCTGATGAGAGACTAAGAACAAAACATCATAAAAACATGAAAATTTATGATGTTTTGTTCTTATATATATATATATATATATATATATATATACAGAGAGAGAGAGAGATACAGAGGAAGAGAGAAGATTCTCTTGCAATCTAACCGGTGACGGTTGTTGTTGTTTCTAATGCATGCCACTTGTCAATATCAGCAAACCTGCTATTGGAATTCAAGTGATTTTTATGGCAGAGGGTGTGTTTCTTGTTTATTTCAGTGGCGCCATCTATGGCCAAGAATATGACTTCATCCAAACACACGTCCCAGTCCCTTTTACAGGAAGTATCCATTCAAACTCAGTTCATTCATCCACAGAACATTAACACAATTCCGCACCCTAAGCAGTATTGATTTGCTATGCAAATTTGATTTGTTATCTCCCCCCGATAGATTTAATGTGCGCCAGTCACCATTTAATAAGCAGGGATTCTACGGCAGGCGGGATTTGTACTGACGAAATCACGAACATGACCCCAGCGTCCTACTAACGGGGATATAACGTTTGAAGGGTTTTTTTCTCTCTCCATGTAACGCAAATGAGGGGTTAGTTCAATCAAAAAGTCCTCCAAGAAGGCAAATTTCTTACAATACTTTATCCAAGAGTTCCCTTGTCTTCTGGATTTGGTTCAAAATTAGAAGGCTACGGGATTGAACATTAGTAATTGTAAACCTAAAAATTGCGTCGGCTGTTCTACGATGGTCAGAAAATTATTAAAAAAAAATATGAAAAAAGGAGCTAAGATAACAAAAATGTTATTTATTTTTCGAAACTGAAAAAAAAAATTAAAAAAATGGTGGATTTAAGCAACTAATGCATGTATTACAAAGGAATGAATATATTTTCAATTTAATATATTTTAAAACTTTTCCTATACATTTTAACTTAATAAATATTGTTATAACACTTAAAAAAATATTCGGTGGTGCAAAAATATCAATTGCGTTGCGTGAAAGCAAAACTCTATGTTCATTTCATGTTGTACTTGTAGCTTAATTAATACCATTTGTTTATTTTCAGGATTATTACACCAACATTAAATGAACGTGTAAATATTTCAAACACTTTATTTTATTTTTTTCAAATCCTTAAAAACGATTATCAAATTCTGTTTTAGTTTTTTTTATTTCCTTAGTTTGGTTCTCCTTTAAAGAAGTTATTTAACAACGAAAAGTGTTTANATGATACAGAAAATATATATATGAGTGTATTTATAATGAACTACAAAATTTCCCCCATTACTAATTCAAATACATATTTTTTTATTACTTTCCTTATGACCAGAGAAGATAAATGAAAGTCACAGATTGTGTTTATGTATGGTGTTTGACTACGTAGCATTTGGACACGGAAAGGACGCCCGTTGCCGCATTGTTACTCAACTGCTTCAAAATGTTCACAACGTTTCAAGGTACTCATTCATTATAACAATTGCAAGCTTAACAATGATCAACAAGGAAGTAAAGCTTGAGTAAATTATATATATTCCCCCCCCCCAGAAAAAAAGAATCGATTAGAAGGCTTATATATTCAAATAATCCGTAATTATGGAATGATATATTAATTCCACATTCAATTTCTCTTTCAGACATATTTACTAATTAAGTCGTACGACGGTAATGAATGTTATTATAGAATAGCTTCCATGTCAAATACATTAATTATGTATTAATCATCAGTTGTAGAACTCTTCAGATCAATATATTTAAAAAAACAATTAAATGGTAATAGTATCATGACTTCATTATTAGCGAAGATAACAAGAATATGTTCGTGCGATTATATCACAGGGTTCGTCCCCCTTAACCCTTTGATGAAGAATTTTTATTCTAAACATGTTTTTTCGTTTCATTTTTTTGTATTAATTAGGTCAAAATAAGTGGAAAATATTATGTTTAGCATTTTAATAATTTATGTCTACGAAATACAGCATGAGACACAGGTGTCTCTTTCTGCGTAAAAGGTAAAGTCATTCAATTTTTTTAAAATTTTATACCCACTTTTTACTAAGGGATTGTAAGAACCCTATATCAAATCCTATACGTTATTATAATTAGTATTGTTGTTAAATCGTATCATTAAATTCTATTTTAATGAAATTCACTTTATTACTTCTAAAAAATACACTGCGAGGATTGCAAAAGCTGCGAGCTACGTTAATTACTCAAAGATGCAGGTTAAATGTAGTCAGCAAAAATTTATCTTTTTCAAAATGAAGGAAAACTTTAAAAAAAAAATAATAATTTTCGAACAATATTTTCCGGGCTGCCAAGTTTCTATGCTTTTTGGGAAAAATTATTCTACTGCTACCTAATATTTTTTCCTGTATGTATTTTCTACTTCATTTCATGTAAGTGATTCAAAAGTTCACACAAGGCGCCACTTTGTTCCTGCTCTCTCGCCTTGAGTTTTAAAAAAATTGCCAAAATTATTAAAAAAGTAATTGAAAAAAAATTTTTTTTAGTGATTTTTATTTCATTAATACTCAGTTAACGAAAATAACACCTGATAAAGCGCATTAATTAATATCCTAACATTGAAATTGATTGCCTTAATTTTGAATAATTTGAGAAATGCTAAAGAATGTTACATATACCTAAAACTTTTTGAGAAGTAAAAATTAAATTTTTATTAGAAAGAAGAACAAAAAGAGTTTTGTTCTACGTAGAAATTTAAATTTTCAGTACAATATATTTGAATTTAGAGTTCTCAACATCTATTTGAGCAATGAAAAAAAAAAGAAAAACAGAAGGAAATAAAAAAATAGAAAAGGAAAGAAAATTTCAAATAGATTTGCTATTATCTCTTTTCAGATGATAAGGATTAGAGTTAATTGACTTTAGGAAAAGCACAATTAAATTAAAGCTTTGTAAGTTTTATTTTAATCTGCCGTAATCACTCCCAAATATTTAAGGAAAGAAGATGGGGTAGAGTACAGAAATTGCTTTTTTTATACTTACGTTTTTGTTTCTTTTGTGGTTTTCTATGCTGTCTATCTTTTGTAATCGGAAAAAATGCCTTAAATATTTTTTTATAGCGTATTGGTCCTTTTTTAGAATATTATCAAAAACTAGTTTAAAAATGAGGCGATTTAGTATCAATTTTTACTTTTTCTAGAAACATAAAAATATCGAAAAAATGGCTTATCATTGCCTAGCAATGAAACCTTCATATGTATAACAGTATCTTTAACCATCAATGATACCATTATAGGGAAAATTACTTTGTAATAAAAAGTAGCAATTTATCAATGTTTAAAGTAAGAGGCTATTTTAACCTTGATTACAGATTAAAACTAGAAGCTTTTTTTTACTATTGTAATTTATTATGGTGGACAGACAGGTTTTATTTCTTTTCAGAAACCAAAACTAAGAGTGAAATAATTACGCTACTGAATATGGGTTAAGTTCACGGAATCTCCATAAATCGCCCAGCGTTCTAATTAATGGTCAGTACTCTTTTTCAGGAAGGTAAGAACTAGCGGCAAGGTAAATTCATTACTAATTTTTATCTTGGCGAACAAAATAATTTTACCGCCGTTTTGTAAGCGTGATGTAAAACTTTTGACTGGGACCTGGGAAAATTTTATTGAAATTTTTTTTTAAACTTCAAAGGGCAAGAAAAATTTCTTAAACGCATGAGCTGATTTTGTACTATTGTATGATACAGAAAATATTTCAAAATGGAATACTTTTACGAATTTTTAAAGTTCAAATTTTTAAAAAAAAATTATGTTTTTAATGTAACTGAAAGTAACATGCTTCAGTGTCAAAGTTTTTTGTTGTTGCTGTTTGTTTTGACGCTGGTTTAGTTAAAGTGATAGAAAATAAGAGAACTATCTTCTTGATGTTAACAAAAAAAAAATAATGCCAATTTTTTCATATGGAGTTTTTCTATATATAAATGATTTTTATAGTTATGTATATTATGTTAAAATTCAATATTGGAAAAAAGCGTAACCGAGCCTTATCTTAAATTCTAGTTGGGGGAAAAACATAATTTGCTAGCTATCTGCGAAATAATTCCGTAATTTCTTTTAAATGTATAATGTACGTTATTTTATTTTTAAAAAATGCACATTATCTTTAAGATTTTCGTTTCTTTTTTTCTGACTCTCTAATTACACTCACAAATATATTTTCGAATTTTTTAATTATAAAACGCAGTCTAATAGTTACTAAAAAAAATCTGTTGGAGTATGGGACTTACATTAGTTCTAAAAATATAAGATCCAAAAAAAAAAGTAGCATTAAGTTTTTTTTCCATTCATATTTAAAAATTTATTAATAATTTTGTAAAATGTAAGAAGTTTCAATGATGTATAACTGTTTCTCTTAGATCTAAATTACTGAAAATTTGATAAATTATTGTTCGGAAGTGAGTTGTATTTAGAAGATCTTTCACGTAGAAAAAAACATTGGTGTTTCATGCTGGATTTCATAATTATAAATCATTAAAATACTAAACATATTTTTTTAAACTTATTTTCACCTAAATTAATACAATAATGAAATTAAAGTATGAAAAATATGCTTATTAAAATTTTTGCGTCAAAGGATTAACTGAATTACTTTTTATGTGACTGAAATTGTAATGAACTTTAAGATTTTTGTGTTCAGAACTCCCATAAGTGGCAACTTAAAAAATACACAATTATAATACACAATTCACAGCCAAGCTTTTTAAATCATTAAAGCATAAAAATACAGACCATGCTGGGTTAAAATGAAAATTTATTAAAATTTATACAAAACTTACTTCGAAATGCCCATAATTTCATTTGCTTAAGTCCAGTTAAAAACTTCATTAAGGAACGAGAACAACCTGATGATAAATTCATATCCTCAGATGCTCTCAGTATCTGAGGTAGCATTGATTTCACTAAACTGGACATAGTTTTTTGAAGTTCTTTATCAGTTTTCATCCATCTTTCTAAAGCAGTTAAGTTTCTTTTCACTGGTATAGCTGTAGTAACAGGCTCTTTACTGACAGCTGTAGAATGCACTGCACTTTCGGCAGATACATTAGAAACCGTAATAATCAAAAACAGAAAGCAAACGATAATTGAAGCTTTCATGATTAAATTACATTTATATTAGATTAGATTCGAAATATTTAAAGAACTTTAAAGTTGAGAAAAGTGGAGAAAAAAATTTCTCAGAATTTATACAATTGGAGCAAAATGTTTAAATGTGGCTTATTAGAAAGTTTTCACAGGACTGATACGTTCTTCTTAATACGAAACTAATGAATACTTTTAGTTCTTGCAGATTACCTTTCGAAAAATATAATATTAATTATTCTTTATTTTTATTTATTTATTTTTATTTTTTTGAAGCCGCATCCTTGGTATTTGCTTAATCAAGAAATTTCGAAGTCAATGTCGTCACTGTACCAGCAACGCGATTCGTCCATTCTTGCGTGACGTCACATAGATTCCCGCGTTTATTTACCTTGGTCTCTTTTCTTTTTTCTTTTCACTTTCTCTTGAAGAATTTTTCTTTCATTTCTAGCTGAAACGTGCTAGTGGGAAATTAAACTTAGGAAAGGTGACTTTTAATGAGCTTATTCTAGAAGGGTATGGATCGTTGATACTACAACATCCCTTTTGATGATAAAATGAATGATTTACCCATTGTTCTTACTAATTTTTTTGAAAATATTTTCTTTGAGTGGGTCCAGATTTTTCTTCAGTTACGGTATCGTCAACGTTAAAAGATGCTTTGCATGCTATTGTCATTTGTCGAATTGCATTATCATAATTATTACAATTATTATTATAATGCAATATTAATAATTATAGTATATTTCCCATTATTAGAATACTGATGATAAAAATGCGAAATTTATTACGAATAACTCTTTTCTTATTTATTTATATAACCCGAATTATGTCATACCCGGATGCCCCCTTTGGGGGCGGGACGGGGTTTTAGCAATAAATAGCTTATTTATATAAAAACTTCCAGTTTTTAATTAAATGCAGGCAAACATTTTAAGATTTCTCTAACCCTGACTTCATTAATATATGCTATAAAACCATAAATGAAAACTGGACAAAATACTTTGATTATTAGTTCATAACCAAAATAAAAAAAAAGACGTCAGTATGAACTCTGACTAATAAATTAAAATAGGTAAAACGTGAAATTAAGGAGAGCATGTCTGCATCAAAATAGCAATTTTTTTAAAATTTTCATTTTATTTCACTGGTTTATATAATAAATCTAAGGTACAGTTTAGTTGTTGTTTTTTGCAGTGATTTATTTTTATTTATTTATTTAAATGCAACAATTGTGTGATTTTAAAATCAAGTATAGGTGAATAATAATAGTAATATTAAAAAAGGCTTAGGAGACATTAATATGTTATTTATTTGTGATAGAACTTAACAATGTATTATTGTTACCAATCTTTTTTTAAAAAAAATCATGGTGTAAAATTGAATAGAAGAAATCTACCTAATTTTAATGATTCAAAGTAAAATATATTTGTAAATGGAAATTTTTTAAATTCTCAATCTAATTTTCAAAAGTCAAATCTTCAGTTTTAGGATGAAAAAAAACAACATGTAGATATATTGTCGAAGAGTAAAAATTTTTTTGGATTTTGCTCACTTAATTTCTAGTCCTAGTCCTAGTGTTTTGATTTTATTGGGCACCTGGGTCGCAAAGCGACCTCTATCCCATTCATCTAGAATTTTAACACTGGTTTGGTTGAGCATTGAGGTAAGAAGGAAGTGGAGCTGACAAGGGAAACTAGGGAAGTGTGATTCGCTAATTTTGAAATAAACTAGTAGTATGTATGCCTTATAAGGAATAATTTTAGGGGGCAACATTCGTTTCGGCCCATAGAAGGTCCTGTGAGAGATAAAAAATAATTCAATATATAGAAAAATCGGTATTTTATTACTTCAATGCAGACTATTAGTTATTTTAATTGTCTCATACTCCAACTAATTTGTAATTAATTGGATAATTAATTACTTTCACGTACTATATAATGCATATTTATTGTTAAAATTGATTTCGAAAATTTTATATATCTGTAGTTTTTCCGAAAAACCTGTTAGGTTAATTTTAGAAAAAAATTGACATCAAATTTTTTAAATTCTTTTTTTCAAGAAGCTTTCCAAATTAATTGGAGTATGTAATTGCAAATCAATTAATTAATTAATAATTAATCAACAATTAATTAATTTCCTCATTAATTTATTAATTAGCAAATTAATTAGTTATCCAATTAATTACAAATTAATTGGAGTATGAGATGATTACAATAACTAATAGTCTGCATTGAAGTAATAAAATACCGATTTTTCTATATATTGAATTATTTT